GTTCAGAATTGGGTCAATATTTAAAACAAACAACAAGATAATAAGTTATTGCAAAAAGAGTGTGATTTATAGTGTCACAGTTATCTATCCAACTAGTTTTAATTAATAGAGTAACTTGGACTGTAGATAATATAGGACCTTGGGTGAGCTTGTAGCTTGAATGTTTACACTTAAAACCCTAAAAAAAAAAAACTCTGTCCTATCTCGTCATGAATCTTGAGACAGCTAGACTGAATTAGATATTCAAGATTTCCAATTAATTCTTCAAATTATATTTAGTACTGTGGTGCAGATGTGTACACTGAAAAAAAATCATCCCTAATTGCCATGAATCATGTAACAAGCTGCTTTAAATATTTCAATATTTCTGGTTATTTCTTTAAATTATATCTTAGTGAGTAAGAAACAGATCTAGAGATGAATAAATACTCAATTAATAAATTAAATGTATTGATCATAAATGAATAAATATATATATCAGTATGCCTGAACCAATATATGTATATTTTCTAACATTCTATCATTAAATTTTATTTGAATGTCAGTTAAATTATTGACTTCAAACAAATTTTACTTATTTATAGCCATTTTAATCCTCAGTCTATCAAAGGATTTTTGTTGAATAATCATAGTTATAATTTTAGGACATACCAATATTATCAAAGCATTTATATTGATGTTCACAATAAATGGTAGTGCTTTAATGTGAATGGCAAATAATATATGCCACCTTACCCACTTTTTGTCAGACATTAACTGTTAGTGTATGTAATATTCTATATTCTATAATAGTTGCCCTTTCTTGCATGACCCATTTTTATAAAATTATATAAATAATTCATTTACATTGATTTATTGATGCATTTCCTGAATTGATATTTTTTGTATCAGAATGATTCTTAATTTTTGATAATATTAGATATTTATATCATAATGATTCTCAATTTTTAATAACTGTTACAATAAATATTTAAATCAGAATGATTCTCAATTTTTTGATAATGATAGATATATATATCAGAATGATTCTCAATTTTTGATAATGATAGATATTTATATCAGAATGATTCTCAATTTTTGATAACAATAGATATTTATATCAGAATGATTCTCAATTTTTCATAACAATAGATATTTATATTAGAATGATTCTCAATTTTTCATAACAATAGATATTTATATCAGAATGATTCTCAATTTTTCATAATAATAGATATTTATAAGTATTTTCATGCATGAATTTAATCGTTTTTGACTTAATGAGTTTTTTCTAACATGATTTTTAGCTTGAATTTTTAAAGAAAGAAAAGAGCTATTGCTACAGTCATGTTGTAATGTTTAATTGCCATCTGAAAAGTTTAGCTTTGGTCATAACTTTTTTTTTATTTCTCAATAGTTTTTGCCTTCATACTTGGACACAGCAACCCTTTAGACCAGACTGAACTTGACCGTCACTTTCAAAGGTCAAATACTTGAATTTTTCTTGATTTTAGTTCTAGTGGGCCACAGCTTTGATATTTATAAATTGATAGTCTTCATACTTGGACAAAATACTCCTTAAGACAAGACATTTAAGTAGACCAATTTGATTATGACCTTCACTCTTCAATGACCTTGACCTTGAAATTCAAATAATTGCATTTTACTTTCCTATAATTGGTTATTACTTTGTTATTAATGAACTGTCTTCATACTTGTGCACATCTACCTAAAGGACAATGTTTGAAAATAGATCAAACCCAATATGACCTTGACTTAATAATGCTTGACCTTGAATGTCAAACAATTGTAATTTCAAAGGTTTTTGCTATAATTGGCTAAACATTGTAAGTAAAATATGGATTGCCTTCATACTTGGACACAATAATCTATTGGACAAGACATATAAGAAGATTCAAAAAGTTATTAATATATGACCTTAACCTTTATATGACCTTGACTGTCAAGGTAAACTATTGAATTTACCTTAAATTGTCATAACTTTGTAATTTATTTTTTAAATTGATTTAAACTTAACAAAAAAAAACCCTTTAATTATGACCAAACCAACATGCTGAATTGTTCTGATATGACCTTGACCTTAATTGACTGAGCATAAAGGTCAAATTATTGAAATTTGCTTAAATTGTCATATGTGTTTTTTATGAAGTTTATTATTATATACCACATTTCCATAGCACTCTTTTCATGAATAATAAATGTTCAAGACTTTGCTTGATTTGATTCATACTTGGACAAAATAACAGATGGATAAATTAAAATGTTGAAGTAGTCCAATATTCCATGACCTTTAATTGACCTTTACTGTCAAGGTAAAATTATTGAAGTTTACTTAGATTGTCATAACTTTATTATATATTTATAGATTTAGTTCATTCCTGGCCAAAACACATATGACAAACTGACAATTATGATTAAGACCTTTGAATGACCTTGAACATTAAGATTATTTATGAAATTTGAATTATAATTTGTTCAAGACAATTATAGGAGTATTCTTTACTGCTATATTCTTTCTTCAATGTGTTTGTCCATACAAGTAAGAAAAAGTCGAGTGTGGTCCCTGTCTGGCAGTGGGTCTTGTTTATTGTTATAATTATTACATTTTGAGCTTTGATATTTATTTATGATTAGATATACTCTATTAAATCTATATGTCAACCATACATTTCTAAATATTCTGTATATTTGGTAATATTAAATAATCAACATAACATCTATAAGAACAAATAACATGTCTTATCTAAACCAACATAGCTTTTATTTGAGCTTGGTCAATAAAAAGTATTGTTTACTTACAGTATCATTTTTGAGTTAAAAAAAGAGAAGAAAAAAAAAGAAATTTTAAGTGTTTTAGTTAACTAGTGCTTTGTGTTTTTCTTATTTGTTAACAAGACTTTACTTTTTGTTTACTGTTTACTGCATGACTGTTTCATTAAGATATTTATGTATAATCATTAAATATAAAATGTGATATTTTTAGCTATACACAAGGCACAGTGTGTCTCTTTGTAGTAGCTTCATTTGAAAATCAAATAGTAAAAGATTATAAATAAAAGTGTTATATAGTATTTTTGTTGTATACATTGTTAGATTGTTCTGTTTAGAAATTTAGTTGCTTCAATAAATAGTTAACTCTTACAGTGTTATTACTTTCTTGAAACACTATATTTCATTTAGTAGGAATTATTATTATAACGAATGTTGTGTTCCATTTATGTTTTAAATGGCACCTATCAGTACAACAAACAACTGTATACTGTTATTTATTGGTAATTTTCCTTGCATAGTCTTTTTCTTTTATAGTTTCTTGGTGTAAAAGGATAAATTGCATGTATATAAAATTATGCATCACAACTTTGTACATTAAACCAGTACCATCAACTCTCTGACTACGGAACGTCGATCGTTTTACTCGGGTAAACATTTGTGCCTGAAATAATGCATTGAGGTCACCTAAGGTCTTCCTCCACCAGCTGGAAAATCGGCAAATGACCCTTTTCTGCGTTAGTGCGACATTTAACCAACAAAAATAAGATACTACCCCTTTCTGAATTTGTGAAATGGACCTGCCTCTCTTTAATTTGGAACATTCTATTTGCACTTAATAGGTATTTCAGTATCAGGATTATAGTAAAATTTAGCAGCTGAGAGTGCAGAATCTGTCAACCGGACATGGCCGAATTACTGGTTACTAAACCTGAATGTTGAAGGAGTTCCCCTTATAAAAATATAGAATTTGATTATTTTTGTTTACAAAATATGAAGTAAAGTACTTAAAATGAAAACTTCTGCAAAGGATAAAAATATACTGATTAAATTTAATATCAGGTAGTTCGTTTCTTAGCCCGAATTAATGATTCTGCGATTTGCATGCATGATATTATCACATGTAGATTATATAGTTCGTCATGAATTGTAGATTTGGTCTATAGGTGGTTTAAATACGCCAAGTTGATACAAACGAATTGCAATTATAATAAATAGGGGAAGCGGAAGAGCTAGGAAGACTGACAGGTATATGGCTCAATCATTATATATACATATGTAGTTTATACTTTATGAGGGTCCAACTTCCCGTTAAGGCCCCCAAAACAGCTTTTGCTGTCGAGTACGAACACCGGACATGTCATTAGTCATGCCGTTAATGGTAAATTTTGAAGCAAAAAGTGGTAATAAATTACTTTAGAGAATTAGCCAAAGAAATTAACTGAACCGAATGTTGGTTACGTACGGCTCATCGGCTTTAGTCAGGACATCGGCAGCTGGTCCGCAGGTGCAAGATTTGGACTTGGATGCCCTTGAAGTGCACATGCCGATGTGTAGGAGAGAGTTGCAGCCGTTATACAGCAAACAACCGTTTATATACAGCCATAAAATCTGTCAGAAATAGTGCGAATTTGTAATACTGCGCAAATGCTTATAAAATTTCTCTATATCCCTGCGCGGATGTGAACCCTTTAAAGGGAGGCTATTACATTATGTTCGGTTAACATAGTTGTACGAGTTTCCTCCCCTGTTACATATTTGAATAGTGATATTAAAAAGGGACTCCGTTGCGTCCTTTTCTTACAATTCAAATATTTTAGCAGATATGTTTTATGTTACTATAATTAAAAGTGTAGATTTTCAAAATAATTTTAAACTATCATTTCTTGTATTCATGTTTTTTAGCAGAGCATTATGTAAAAAATCTCTCATGAAAACGTGTTTAAACAAATATACGTGGTAATTGCACACCAAGGCGTTTTGTCAATGTATTTATATAATAGTTCGCTATTTTATTGATTATTAAACTTAAATTACTTCTCTACCGAGACATGGACGGGAGAGTAATATAATAAGTTCCATACTTCCTGATTCTATTATTACAATGTTTAGCTATACGTAAACGATATATTCTTTATAGTTTTTATATTCTTTATACGCACAGGTATGTATTATATTACATTCATTTAATTGTTCTTTTTTATGTATTTTTTTGTTGTATACAATATGTTTAAACGATTATTGAATAACATACGCGTCGTATCATTTACAGTGTTATTTTAGACATGATCTGTTAAATAGTATATCATAAATTTCATTTTAATATTTTAGTGTTATTTGTGTATTAAGGAAAATTAAACTGTGATAATTTGGAAAAAAATGTCGCGTGGCAAGGTTTGTATAATTACAATCTTACTAATATTCTATAGTTTCTTTTGTTTAGAGACATGTATATTGTTTCATACCTGACGCTTTTTCAAAAACTAAGGTATAAAATTTACGTGTAACATGAAGGTAGTGCCTCAATATTGTCTCACAATCTTATTCAAATTACGCGCTGATCGAAATGATAGCATTGTTGGATTAGTCACTGGCATTAGTAATCAAAATAAAATAGTTATATAAAATATTTTCTTTCACTTTCCCTCTTAAAATTCTTACCTTTTTTACCACATCTGCAGCGACGTATAAACGCTGTACAAAAGTCGTTTAATATATAATCAAACTGAGTCTGCAATATGCATGTCATTTTGTTGTGATTAATGCTTGATAAAAATTTTGACTCTTAGTCTTTAAGTCGTAGGTTCGAGCAGTTCTCAGATTTCGCCCACGTTCTCCCCCAACCCCAATAAATATGAACTCAGCACTGGTAAGTGCAAGAAACGGAATAATCATCAAAATGCTGAATTTGCCAGCAATCCATTCGAAGTTTAAAGCATTCCAATAATGATAAAAAAAACAACTTTAAACAATCTAGCTACCAACGGTGTACAGAACCTTGTCAGACAGGACGTATGTGCTCACTGGCCTGATTAGGTTAAGGATTAAAAGTGATCATATTAAACAAAATCCCTTTATATTTGAACGCCTAAAATAAATTTCCAACCTTAAGTGATGAGCTCTGTTACTAATATGTCTTGCATTTCTAAATCTTTGAAATGCAAAACATTAATGCGCTTTGAAATGATAGTAACAATATTATGTTCCTTCTGCATTTTTTTACCCCCGCACAACAAAGTTTTAAGGGGGGTATACTGGAATCAGCTTGTCCGTCCGTCCGTCCGGCCGTCCGTCCGTCGGTTTTTTCTTGTCCGCCCAATAACTTAAGATTCCTTTGATCAACAGTCTTCATATTTGGCATGGAGGTTAGTCCTCATTAGTAGATGACCCCTATTGATTTTGAGGTCACCAGGTCAAAGGTCAAGGTCACAGTGGCCTTGACTTCAAAAAGCTTGTCCGCCCAATAACTTAAGATTCCTTTGCCCTACAATCTTCATATTTGGCATGGACGTTAGTCATGATTAGTAGATGACCCCTATTGATTTTGAGGTCACCAGGTCAAAGGTCAAGGTCACAGGGGCCTTGACTTCAAAAAGCTTGTCCGCCCAATAACTTAAGATTCCTTTCACCCACAGTCTTCATATTTGGCATGGAGGTTAGTCATGATTAGTAGATGACCCCTATTGATTTTGAGGTCACCAGGTCAAAGGTCAAGGTCACAGGGGCCTTGACTTCAAAAAGCTTGTCCGCCCAATTACTTAAGATTCCTTTGACCCACAGTCTTCATATTTGGAATGGAGGTTAGTCATGATTAGTAGATGACCCCTTTTTCGAGGTCACTGGATCAAAGGTCAAGGTCACAGGGACTTTGACTTCAAAAAGTTTGTCCACCCATTAACTTAAGATTCCTTTGACCCACAGTCTTCATATTTGGCATGGATGTTGATCGTGACCATAAGGTGACCCCTATTGATTTTGAGGTCACTGGGTCAAAGGTCAAGGTCACAGGGACCTTGACAAAAAAAGCTTTTCTTCTCAATTGCTAAAGAATGCCTGTCCGCAGTGTATTGATTTTGACATTTTCACATTTGAAGCATGTAGAATACATAACTTAGCAATGCACTGGCTTAGTAACCTCAGATTTGACAGGGAAGTTGTCCTTGAGCTCTAAATGGCCACTGTTGATTCTGACAAAGTGGTATGCGGGGGTATTAACGCCATGATAGTGGCAGTTCTAGTCAGCTTTGCTGTATGTGGTATGCGGGGTTTTCACGCCATGATAGTGGCAGTTCTAGTCAGCTTTGCTGTATGTTAATAAGTGTTGAAAAGGTAAAAAAAAAAAGAATAACTTTATTGTTCATTAAGCGCATTATTTACACTAGGGTGTTACCTGACAAAAATACATTTCTCTTCCTTATATGACAGAAAGAGGTATTCTAGATCAATGCAAACATTTAAACGATATGCACAATTAAGTATTCAAATTTCAACTATTGAAAGAAAAGAAAAACCCGGAAAAGTTTTCGCCGTCTAGTATTAGAATCAACACTGCGAAAGTTAATATTTGCTTGTGGCATAACAACTATTGTTGATGTTCATTCATTCATTCATTCATTCATTCATTCATTCATTCATTCATTCATTCATTCATTCATTCATTCATTCATTCATTCATTCATTCATTCATTCATTCATTCATTCATTTATTCATTCATTCATTCATTCATTCATTTATCATTCTTTCATTCGTTCGTTCGTTCGTTCTTTCGTTCGTTCATTCATTCATTCATTCATTCATTCATTCATTCATTCATTCATTCATTTATTTATTTTCAGAGCGCGTTTAATCCTGTTAGGGCATCAAATTTGCCGTCTGGTATCTTTCAGCTGAGGGTAAGAATACTTGTTTTATAGTCAAAATTATATCCATGTTTTAAACGCTTAAGTTTGCCTGCTACTAACAATGTGAATACGGTCCCAGTGCAAACCAAAACAAGACATCCCCGAGGTCTGCACTGTCCGCTATTCAGTCAGTAATTATTTTGATTTTCTTTTTTCAAATTATTTAGCGTGGTAAATGTTAAAAAATGATATGATTGTTTAGTTTAATTTACTTTTAAGGATTATATGCACGTTGGCTTTATTCCATGCAAAAGCTTGTAATATTTGCAGTGTAAATGATCGCATATTTTAAATGCATTTGATTTGCTACTATTTTAAGAACAGACACTATGAAAATAAATCGTTCAAGGTGACAAAGCACGTGTCTGGGGTAGCTTAGAAACCCACATGACCTGGATTTTTATTCGATTCTCAATTTATGTATGTTTTTCATCGATAACTTTGCTATTTTTTCCATAATAAAGAATATTTTGGAATAATTATATATAAAGCGTACCCGATCCCCCCAAAGAAAGAATATTTATATATTTTCATATCCCAGGCGCAAATTTGCAAATATTTTGCAAGTATTACGGAAAATATGACAGGATTTTCTATTTTTAGCAACAATATTCAACCCGTTACTAACTGAATAGTGCTGCTCTTGAGAAGAAGCAATTTCTGCCGACAAAAAGCGAAATTGGTTAATTTAGTAGTATTTGCACAACACAACAATTTGCTAGCTCAAATAACAGTTAGCTAGCTCTTATACATGTTTGTAACATTAACGTTTTGCTTAAACTAACACAATTGTATAACACTTTTCAGCAATCCGAGGTATCAGAAGCTGCCAGTCTGAGCTCCAGCAAGCAAAGTAGTATTCCAGAACTATCGAAAGCGGAAGAACTTGCGCTCAAGCGAACAAGTTCTGAATTCGCTCCTATAGGACAAGTTAGTAGCTTAGTTTCATAATTTTAAAACACATGTAATATTAGGAATTTATGTATCAATTCAATGCAAATAGATTTCTCATAGCCTTTTTTTTTTAGAAAAGGTCTGCGGCCATTAGTAATTCATTTATGTCCTACCCATGGTGCTAATAATTTAATACATGGAAAAATCTTTCGTCAGATAAAAATAGTAACTTTGAAATTTTGGACTGTATCCATTTTTAGTCCCCTACCGGTTTAACCGGAGGGGACTTTAGGTTTACCCTCCGTCCGTCTGTCTGTCTGTCCGTCTGTCAGTCTGTCTGTCTGTCCGTCAGTCCGTCCGTCCACAAAACTGGATCCCGCGATAACGCAAAATGTACTGAAAATATTTTAATGAAACTTGATATATGGATAGATGGCAGTATGGAGATTATGCACGTCTTTTTTTTTTCTTCCTATGTTGAAAATTCTGGTTGCTATGGCAACAAATAGCCTGAAAATATGGCAAATTGAACACATAAACTGGATCCCGCGATAACGCAAAAAGTACTGAAAATATTTTTATGAAACTTGATATATGGATAGATGGCAGTATGGAGATTATGCACGTCTTTTTTTTTTCTTCCTATGTTAAAAATTCTGGTTGCTATGGCAACAAATAGCCTGATTTTAAAAATTTTATGAAAAAAATGTTGTCTTTTTTAAATAACTTCTTTATTTCCTAATGTATCTACTTCAAACTTCATATATATGTTTCTTATTATCACTCAACATTTTTGAGAAGGTTAAATACTCTAGCAAGACTATTTCCAGAATTATGTCCCCCTTGAACTTAGATTTTTTTCGAGAAATTGGTATTTTTCACTCCAACTTCTTCATTCATTATAGGATTTACTTTAAAATCCCACATCGTAATAATATGACAAGGTTGTATAAACATAATTTCCTTACTAGGCAGGGAAACTTAACACATTACTGTGATATAGACAAACTTAGAACTCAAAAGATTTAAGTTCATTCATGTCATTCATTCACTGGTAAAATTGACTGGCCAATGGCCCATCAGAAAGTTGCTGGGGTTCTAACCGGTAGGGGACTTATGGATTGCTTGCAATACTATGATAATTGCTTGTTTTCTTCGAAATTTGTAACAAAGGATGATATGTGAAACAGTTTGGTACCAAGACAAGTTTGTGTTCTTGTTTGGTACCAAAACGCTGATACATTCTATGTTGCTATCAAGACACGCTGGTACCAAGACACTTTGGTACCAAGACACTTTGGTACCAAGACAATTTTGTTTACTGCATTTGAATTAGTTGTAGTATGCGTCTTGTCTGGTACCAAGATGTTTGCAAACACTATTGTGATCTTTCATTACGGTAGCATGGTTAAATTTTTGACTTGTTAAACTGGAACAATAATAAAAGAAACTCTATCATACATACGAAGGGCATATTTTGATTAGTGGCAGCAACTCAATTTAACCATGATTTGCACGGGGAAGTACATGTATAATATACCGTCGGAAAGATTATTGATTTTTCTAAACAACATTCTATTTTCGCACGATTTGCACGTGCAATAAAAGAACAGTTTAAAGTGCTTTGTCGGAATGGATTCTTGGGCTGAAAAGTGTGTAGAGGACCAAAGTTAACATTTTGAAGGACTAATCATTTTTCACAGGCATGGCTTATATATATAATTATATAAAATAGATGTACACGAATATATATATATAACGCGCTGCCGTTGCCACTTATTGAAATATAATATGCCCAACGTATTCAAAAATTCTTTTATAAATGACATAATTATAAGGCCGATCTTAGTAAAAAAAATGTAATATTTTAAGTGTATAAAGCTATATATCTGCTGCAAAAATTACTGTTTGAATTTCTCAAAATAACCCTATGAAATAAATTTAGTAAAGCAAATGGTGCATGCCCAAAATAATTGTGAAACGGATAACATTTGAGCATTTGATTCTGTTTTCGAACAAAATACATGTGTGTTGAATATTAACATAGCCATTTTAATAACCAATATAATTTTACTGTTGACAATTTTTATGTAGTATATTTATATAAAAGCAAATATTCCATATTAATATAAAGCTTTATACACTTTGGCTTGTATGAGTTTAGAAACTTAGTGAAACACGTAGTTTATTTTCTCTGTCTCAGATAGACGAGCTTGGGAGCAGTGCTACCTTAGTAATTTATTTTTCTATTATTTTATAATGTACATCATGATACTTGATTATTTATGATACCACCAAAGCATCACGTTTTTTTGTGTCATGGTGTGACCGGAAATACAAACTATCATTTCGTCAACTTCCGGGTGTAGAATATCTTGCATTCTAATACAATATTGAACTTTGTCTAATAAAATGTTTTGGAATGGTATTCACTTGACTTCCTTGTTCATTTCTACAAGATATTCTTTTTTTATGGGCCGGTGAAATATTTTGAGCCGGTAAAATAAATATGATAATTATCATAATTTTAATCACAAGGTTAAACTAAATCATGTATTCATAAAAAAAAAAACTTATTTTTTTCTGTAAAATAATACACATTTTTGCACATTACAATTTAATGAAGACTCTCCTTTAAATCTTGTGTTTTGAAAGAATTTAGAAGAATGTAGTCCCACAAGACAGCAGTGAAAATACGGAAAATATGTTTCACTGCAGTGAGAACAAAAATTGTTCAGAGAAAATATGGAAAATGAAAATACGCATTTTATTTCATCACTATTGTTCAATACTTCATTTATAAGTATATAATACAAGTAGACATTGTTTGCGTCGAAGAAGAAATAGTCAAGTATTAAGGTGTCACACATTCTTGTGTTGTTGTTGTTGTTTGTTTACTGTCTGGCAGTGTGATTTTGAAAAGATGGCATACTTTTTTAATACGAACATTTATTTTTTACTATACATTTTCATTTATCAATCGTGACGCTTTTATTAATTATAAAAACACTGTTTATAAACACGGTTGCTTCAAATACATGTATGCGAATTATAAACATCTATTCAAGTAAAGTAATAGTGCAGTATTTATAAATTTGCTTTGCAATCTTTTGACAGATATTCACCTTATCATCATACAATAAGTGTTTAAAATGTAATTTATGAGTAATCGCTTACATATTTTGCATTTGGACAAAACATTTAGTTGAAATATACATTTTTCCTTACCAGGTTATAGTCTTGTTTAAATTGAATGTTCTTTCTATTTGACAACAGACAGCAATACTGATGTTAATATAAAAGTAAATATTTATAGAAAAGCTAAAAAATGTTGCTAAAATATGACTGAAATAAAAAAAGATATAACAGTGCCTGCACTGTTGTTTTATTGACGGCTCATTTATATTAATTTTTGTCCAACAGCTCATTTAGATACTCATCAGTAATTCAGAATAGTAGTGCTCATTTCGGAATAGAAATTATAAAAAAATACGTGTACGTTGTTACTGAATATACAGTCAAACTCGTGGACAACAGTCACCTACACAATAGACCAAACATGGTCTTTACAGACAAGTGGTTTTTATTATCCGATTCTATGTTTTATAAAATCAATGAACGATGGTTGAAGTAAGGTCTTTATTAACAGGGTGGTCTTTATTCAGGGATGATCTTAAACACAGGTTTGGCTGTATATAGAAATCTACTTTCTGCCTGATGTGTTCGGTTAATGGTATTGTACTCTATTTCTTACTTCTTGGTACATTTGGTCTTTATTTATACCAGGGTGAAAGTGAGTCAGAGACGCGGATGGGGGACAAGAACGCGGATGATTTAATGCACAATTGGGTAATCAAATAGTTTGCTTGCTTAGAAGTTGCTTTATTTGGTAAAGTTGGATTGTTTAGTGGTTGGTTTAAAAATTTGTTCTTTTGTTATTTTTTTAGAATAAAGAAAAATATCTTGACTGTCATTCGTAGACATGCTTATGTACATGTATATTCTCAGATTACAACAATTATTATATCAAAATGTACTCGTTTTCTTTTTTCTTTTTTCATTCTCTCATTTCATAGATTGATTTCAAATAAAGTTGCAACTTGATTAAATACTTTTTAAAGTTCATGAAATTTGAACAATCATGATGACCGGTAATTTTTTCGTTTGCATACAACGTTCTTTCCCCATTGACAGACACAGTCGGTCAATCGTTTTCTTTTCTTTTGATTCTTTTAATGGGTTTGAAATTTTAAATTTATTTTCCTTGGTCATTTTGAGACTGTAATTATTCGTTTTACTAAATATATTCCCATCATTCGTTTCTTTCGCTGTGGGTTTGAATCCCTCCTGAGACATTAGGCTCTTCCGCATGAAGATAATATTAAAAGGTGCGCAGAAGGCGTGCCGTTCTTTTCTGTGACAACGATGGGTTGTATTCATATTTTTATTGATATTTTTAAAGAGACCGTCAGCTGATCTGATGCAAAGTCTTGATCGGGCAAGTGGTCCTCGGCGAACAAGCGAATGGGTAAGTCTAATAAACAGTTATTTTCCATTTGTGCTCAGTTTACATTGTTTTAAAGCTGTCTGCCCCCAGATGAGCCAGAATATTTCAAGATAGTCACACTTAAGAAATATGTTCTAAGATGTTTAGAAAAAAAATCTAGTCAAAATTTACATTTTTTTGCGTTAAAAAACTGATTTTTTCAGTATATATCATCACATTGTTACCGTTTGTCTAACGCAGTAAGTTCTATATATGAATATTTTATTTATTTATTTATTTATTTATTTATTTATTTATTTATTTATTTATTCATTTATTTATTTATTTATTTATTTATTTATTTATTTATTGATATATTTATTTATTTATTTTTATTTATTATTTTTATTTATTTATTTATGTATTTATTTATTTATTTATTTTTATTTTTGTTATTTTATTTTTTTATTATATTTTTTTATTATCATTATTATATATATATATTTCTTTTGTGGGGGGTGTTATTTACATAGATAGCAAGTGACGTTTGCAATGTGGCTAGGATGCAGTTGGTTTTGAACAAATTTCCGTACAATACTATGAAGGTTTGATAGGGAAAAAACAATCAAGTATGTTCGCAAAAAACTCACTTTTCATCAGAAGCCTTCATGTTTAGTATAGTCTTTGATTTTGTTTATATATATAAACAGAAACACGTTTTAAATTTTGACTTATAGGAATGTATTAATGACAATGGGTGATTATTAAAATAGAAATGATAAATATTTTCATTTGTGTAGCGTGAGGCTATTAGGAAGGGGGTGTTGTGGGGAAGTGGGAAGTGTTGGGCTGTCCATCAAGCCACGCCTTGTTCTAATATTATTGTTGTTGGTTTTTGTCAAAAACATAACATGTAAAGTAGCCAACTAGTTTTAACACGGAACACTTTGGATAGAAAAGAAATTTATTGGCATAGAAGTGTAATAATGTAATTGTTTCGCAAATAATTGTTTATATATAACTCTTTTTAAACAGTCGTACTATATATACATGTAATTATCTGTCAGGACTATAACTGTTATACTATAGCATGGATACATGAACGTTTGTTATATTAGTAACTTTAAATCAATTATTCGTTCTTCTTTCTATCTTCATGTTAAGGATGAAGACGAATTAGAGGTGTCACAGCAGTCTTCAAACCCACCTGTCGATATTATACCATCTCATGTTAGGGGAAGCACTCCGGATAGCGTATGTTTCCATTATGTTTAGTTTTTGATTGTTAAATTATTCAGATATTTCAAGTCACATTATGCCTCAGAAATGAAATAAATATTTCATTCTTTATAAAGGGAAAATATGAAATGTCAGTGCATGTTAGAACTTGCACGCTTTTCAGTGAAGACTGAATCATGTGAATTTGAAATTATTTGTCATAAAAGTAGCGGAATGTAAATAAAGTTGATGTAGTAGATCTTTTTATATGGAAGAGCATTAGTTCCAAGTGTGTGTTTATTATTAATAACTCGAAATTTCGACTCACTAACTCCGACTCGTTAAAATATGTGGCATTTTATTATATTTCGTGAAAATATATTCCATATTTCACTCAAACGAAAAAACATCATCTTAATATTTGAGAAGTAATTAAGACTTAAAGATCCTGTAGGTTGTAATTATGGTTGTTACCACTTTTAAGTGAAATTTTATATAATTTTATGTATATAATTATGCTTTTTAAACAATTTCCAAACAATGAAGAATCTGTAATAAATATGAACTGCAACAATTTGTCCACATTACATTGTAATCATTAAAATATATGCAGTCATTTTCAATTGAAAAAATTGACTTAGACTTTATAGAAAATAGATTTCTAATTACCTCCCTTTATTATCATGAAAATGTAAATTCGGTAATATCTTTACAAATAATGCTTTTTGGAACTTACAATGTTGATAAATCTTCATTTGAGCATTACATTTATGATATAAAACAAAAAAAAAAAATAAAAACAATAAAAATAGAAATAAAAAAAATTGAGTCACGGGATCTTTAAGAAGCAACATCTTTAGAAATCAATGCGCATGCGTGCGTAGTGATTTGTAACAGAATGAAATATGCTATCCTTTCTTTCTTTTTCTTTGAACAGGTTGTCAGTTCAGGAAGATTTGTTCTCGGCGGTAGTCATGGAGAACGAAGACCTCTTGATGCCGGACACCTTCAGGACAATGTAGTACATGTAATGTGATATATAAATACAAAATGCTTTCTTTTAGATATAATTATATTAGCATTATTTTGCATAAATAATAATTGGAAATTACCAAAATACAAGGAACTATTGATATAATCTTATTGGTCATGTAATTCCGTAAAATATTATACAATAATGTAACAGTAACACTATTTTGCATGTATAACAATCAGAAATTGTGCAAGAAAATAATGATTTAATCTCATGGTAAAAATATCCGTCTATAAAGTATGCAGTCTGTATAGTTTCTATTCTACACCTTGATTTAACCTTGGGAATCATTTAATTACATGTCTATTGCCTAATAACATTTTTCGCGTCAATCCTTTCCTAAACATAAACGATTTTCTTTATAAATTGCAAATATCAAAGCATTTGTTACAAAACTAATGGAAAGTAAAAAGATTTTAACCACAAATAAGTCTAACACAAGCACGCGTTTCTTTTTGTAATTTCGATCTGGTGATTCTAGTAAATGAATAGGTTAAAATTATTTATTATTGTATTTTGGAGATGAAATTAATACTCCAATTTGATTTATGATTGCATGTCGGAACAAATAATCATATGTTTGTTATTTCATTTCGGGCAACTAATAATTCGATACTTGTTATTGCAATACAGAAACAAATAGTTCCACGTTTGTTTTTGCATTTCGGAATAACACGATGCTTATTATTGCATTTCAGAGAGCGAATAATCCGACTTTTGTTATTGCATTTCGGAATAATAATAAAAAATATGAGTTTTTGCATTTTAATGGACAAACATTCTGATTTTTGTGTCTGCCTTCAGACGAAAGCGATAATCCTACATGTGTTTTGTCTTATAGTAAAATTGATAATGTATATTTTTCATAGAAAAATAGCTCAAGATGTATTATTGTATTTCAGAAGACAAATTATAATCTCCATAAGTCAATGAGGGCACAACTCAGCGAGGTAATACTTTTTTTTAAATAGAAATCATAAGTGTTTACAAAATGCACTTCAGAAACTCATTGCGTCTGTGTTTTTATGTAATACAACGTAGTATTTTTTATTATGGAACGTTGTATGCCATTTTTATTTAATAAAAACTTTGCATTGCATTACTTTCCTAGCGTCACTAGTTTTTTGTTGTTGTTTGTTTTCTAGTTTGACGATGCCAGGCCAAGCACATCGACGGCTGATATTGAAGTTGAGGTGAATACGT